TATATATATAAGGGACAAGAGACAATATAAGAGATCTTTTTATTTATATTTTTATACATTTTTTACCTAATTAGTCAATTTATTTATTTATTTATTTGTTTATTTATTTGTTTATTTATTTATTTATTTATTTATTCATTTTATTTTATTTTGTTTAGTAGTCGGCGCAGCAGCAGCAGCAGCAGCAGCAGCAGCAGCAGCAGCAGCAGCAAGACAGCAGCAGAGTGTGTGTTGTTGGCTAGCGGCAGCAAATGGTCATTCTTTTGCCTTTTTGTTTATTTTTTATGTATTTTCTTCCTTTTAATTATAAATAATTAATTAATTTATTAATTTAATTAATTTATTTAATTAAAATAAACAAAATGACGGTAAAAATGTCCTTTTTTTGCTGCTTCTGCTGCTGCTGCAGTCGGCAGCAGCAGCAGCAGCAGCAGCAGCAGTGGCGGCAGTGGTTAGGGTGAGTGTGTTATGGTGTGTATGTCCATAAAAGGGTTATTTTAGGTCATTTTTCTCCCTTTTTATTATAAATAAATAAAATAAATAAGTATAAATTGAATAAAATATAAATAAAAGGGAAAAAAAGAGAAAAAAGGGAAGAAAATGACAAAGAAATACCCTAATGATGGTCACCTCTTTGTTGGGTGTAGCTGGACCACCACCACCGCAAAAAACACTAAATAAGAAAAAACAGCTTTTTGTTCTTTTTTATGCTTTGTTTGTTAATTAAATAGAATAAAAAAGAATAAAATTAATTCTTTTATTCTTAATTAGCTATTATTTGTCGTAAAAAGTACTTTTTTTCTTCTTTTTACCTCTTATATATAGATATAGATATAAGTATATATAAAGGTCACTTATTATTTCTTATTATTCTTTTTTTTTCTTTTTTTCTTCTTTTTTCTTCTTTTTTCTTCTTTTTTCTTCTTTTTATTCTTTTATTTTATTTTATTTTATTTATTTTTCTTCTTTTTTATTTAATTAGAAGGTTTTATCGACCAAAAGAAGAACTTTTCTTATATTTATATACATACTTCTTCTTCTTATATATATATCGCTGTATATTTCTTCTTTTTTTCTTCTTTTTTTCTTCTTTTTTTCTTCTTTTTTCTTCTTTTTATTTATTTATTTAATTATTTATTCATTTAATTTAATTTATTTAATTAAATATTATTATTTATAGCCGTAATTCTGCTTAGGTGTATGTGCACTGCATCGACGCTGCTCCTCTCAAGAGTTGAACTCCCAGCAGCAGCAGCAGCAGCAGAAGAGGCAACAACAGCAACAGCTGTATGTATTCTTTGGCTGCAGCAGCAGCAACAGCAGCAGCAGCAGCAGCAGCAGCAGCAGTGTCACCCTCGCAGCATCGGCCTTCTTGTGTCTCTCTTTGCTCTTATCGCAATTCCTTGTTAAAGGAATATCTCCTCCTTCTTGACCAAGCAGCAGCAGCAGCAGCAGCAGCAGCAGCAGCAACAGCAGCAGCAGTAACAGCAGCAACAGCAGCAACAACAGCAGCAGCAACAGAAGAAACGGCGCCATTAACCCAAGCGTCTACAACAACCAGACGAGCAGCAACAACGCCAGGTGCAGCAGCAGCAGCAGCACCAACTGCAGCAGCAAGTACAGCAGCGTTAACTGCAGCAGCTGCATCAGCAGCAGCAGCAGCAACAGCAGCAAAATAGGTGATGGATATCCCTGGGGAGATGGCTGCTTCTGCTGCAGTAGCCATGGCATCAGCAACAATAGAGGCAGCAGCAGTAGCATCAATTGCTGCTGCTTCCTTAGCAACAGCAGCAGACAATGGATCTAGCTGCTGCAGTGATGTATTTGCTGCACCTGCTGCTGAGGCACAGCAGCGCCTGCTGCTGCTGCAGCACCATCAGCAGCAACTGCAGCAGCAACAGGAAACTAATTGGCAAGTTATGCCCCAATCCCCGCGCATGCAGCAAACCTTCCAGCAGCAGCAGTACGAGCAGCACCAGCCCCTGCTGCTGCTGTCGCATATAGATCTGCAGCAGGAGCAGCAAGATGGTCCTTTGCTGCAGCAGCAGCAGCATCAATTACAATTGCAGCAGCAAGAAGAAGAACATCAACAGCAGCTACAGCTGCTGCAACAGGAGCAGCAGCTGCTGCTGCAGCACGAACAGATGCAGCAGCAGCAATCCCTACTATGGAGTCATAAGGTAACAAAGACATGCAGGAAGAGGAAGCAGCAGCAGCAGCAAGAGCAGCAGCAGGTGCAGCAGGAGAACCAACTGCTGCTGCAGCAAACACTGCAACCGCAAGATTCATACTACGGTCAGCCGCAACAACAGCAGCAGCAACAGCAACAACAGCAGCAACAACAGCTTCAGCAGCAGCAGCAGCAACCGCAGCAGCAGCAGCAACCGCAGCAGCAGCAGCAGCAGGTCGGCTGGCAGAGCACTCCTCTTTCTGCTGTTGCAGACGAAGGGGACAGCAAAGAATCTCCCCAGACACCTGAACTGCAGCAGCAGCAGCAGCAGCAGCATCTTCTGCCACAGCAGCAGCAGCTTACGCCTACGCCGGTGGAGCTCCTCCAGTTGCACCAGCAGCAGCAGCCGCAACAGCAGCAGCAACAAACCGTGCAGCAGCAAGAGCAACCGACGCCGCAGCAGCAGCAGCAGCAGCCGCAGCCGCAGCAGCAGCAGCAACAGCAACATCATAACCCGCATGAATATTATCAGCAGCAGCTGCAGCAATACCACGAGCTAATACGTCGGTTCCCTCCCTTGGAGCAGCAGCAACAACAGCAGCAGCAGCAACAGCAGCAGCAGCAGCAACCTCAGCAGCAACAACTGCTGCCAGCACAGCAAACCCCTCCTCCTGAGGCAGAGCTGCAGCCGCTTGGCTTCTCTCTGCAGCAGCAGCAGCAGCAGCAGCAGCAGCTAGAACTACAGCAGCAACTGCAGATGCAGCAGCAGCTACTTCTGCAGCAGCAGCATGCATTGACCCCTGAGCAGGCGCAGCTGCTATGGCAGCAGCAGCAGCAGCAGCACCAACAGCAGCCGATGCATCTGCAGCTCGAGCAGCAGATTGTGCTGCAGCAGCAGCAGCTGCTGCTGCAGCAGCAGCAGCATGCAGCACTACAACAATATCATCAGCTGCCTCTAACGGAGCAGCAGCAGCAGCAGCAGCAGCAGAAGCAGCAAGTAACGGCCCATGCCTTGCAATGCCAGCAGTTTTATCAGCAGCAGCAGCTGCAGCAGCAGCAGCACGGGCAGCAGCAAGACTGCACCAGTTATCCCTACAGCCACATACTGCAGCAGCAGCAGTTGCTGCTGCAGCAGATGCAATCAATGCCGGCAGGAGCAGCATCAGCAGCAGCAGCAGCAGCACAGCAACAGCAACAGTTGCTGCTGCAGCAACCTGCTGCATCTCCTGCAGAGGAGGCATGGTTATATACAGAGTTACAGGATCATCTATGTGGTGTATTTGCTGCTGCAGAGTTTGCTGCTGCTGCTGCTACTGCTGCTGCTGCTGCTGCTAGTTCCTCTATTAATCCCTTGTCTTCTCTTTGTCAATCCTTTGCTGCTGTACTAAAGGAAATCAATAATGTTGAGGAACAAATGCTGCAGGAACAGCAGCAGCAGCAGCAGCAGCAGCACAGATAATTTATATTGCATGCATGCATGCATGCATGCAGCAGCAGCAGCTGCTGCTGCTGCAGCAGCGGCAGCAGAAGCTAATGATGCATGCATGGAAAAGCAGCAGCAGATATGATTCACTTGCATGCAGCAGCAGCAGCAGCAGAAATACAAGCTGTCGCATGCAACAGCAGCAGCAAAATGTGATACACGCAGCTGCAGCAGTTGCATGCGGCAGTTGCAGCAGCAACAGGCATGCAATCGCAGCAACAGCTGATGCACCAGCAGCTGCAGCAGCAGCTCCTGAATGCATGCAGCAGCTGCTGCTACTGCATGCAGCTGCTGCATGCAGCAGCTATAAATGTTCTCAATGGGGTAACACCACATATACAATGACAGCAGCAAACCCTAATGCAGTTGCTGTTGCTGCTGCTGCAGCAATCGCTGCAGCAGCAGCAGCAACAGCAGCAGCAGGTGAATAGCTGCATGCGTGTCTTTATATAGCGCTTTGGCTAGCGTACTTTAACTTTTATCGCAGTCTAACTCCGCCAATAAACCCTAAACCCTAAACCCTAAACCCTGAGGGTTTAGGGTTTAGGGTTTAGGGTTTGGCTGCAGCAACCTGCTGCATATAATTTGCCTTGGCGGTTTTTTAGTGACAACTTCTTATAAATAAATAAATAAATAAATAAATAAATAAAATAAATAAATAAATTAAATAAATAAATAAATAAATTAAATAAATAAAATAAATAAATAAATAAATAAATAATAGTCATAGTAATAAATAGTTATATAAAATATAAATAATATAAATAATAATAAATTAATAAAAATAAATAAATAAATAAAAATAATAATAAATATAAATAAATAATAAAGAAAGTAAACAAAGAAACACACACAAGGAGCCTTGCTGCTGCTGCTGCTGCTGCTGCTGCTGCTGCTGCTGCTGCTGCTGCTGCTGCTGCTGTGTGCGTGTGTGTGTGTGTCGAGTGTGCTGCTGCTAGGAGAGTTTTGCTGCTTTTGCTGCAGCAAAAAGAAATAAATAAATAAATAATTATATATTTATTAATAAAATAATATAAATAAATAAAAAAGACAAGAAAATTTCTTTATAAGTATATAGATATAGTATAAGGACTGCAGCAGCAGCAGCAGGAACAGCAGCAGCAGCAGGAACAGATGAACAGCAGCAACAGCAGCAAAAAAAATTAATTTTGTTGCTTTTTTATGTCTTTTTTTTATTTTTTTTATTTATATTATAATTATAATATAAATATAAATAAAATAAATAATTATTTTTCTTCTTTTTTCTTCTTTTTCTTCTTCTTTTTCTCCATGGGGGGTATCGGCAGCGGACCCCCGCCGAGGCTCTAGTTTGCTGTTGCTGCTACTGCAGCAGGTGCTGCTGGTGTTGCTGCTGCTGCTGCTGCTGCTGCAGCTGCTGCTGCTTTTGCTGCTGCTGCAGTGTGTTTGTATGTATATATTTACTTTTCTTTGTTATTAATATAAGGATTTAATAAGAAAAGAATGGGTAAGGATACCTTTGTCCGCAGCAACAGCAACAACAGCAGCAACAACAGCAACAGCAACAGCAACAGCAACAGCAACAGCAACAGCAACAGCAACAGCAACAGCAGCAACAGCAGCAACAGGAGAATGGTAATACAGCAGCAGCAGACCCTACGCTGTGGGTCCCACCTCCGTGCTGTTATTCATGACTCTATTACCCTAGCATCTATATATTTTTTTTTTTCTTTATTTGCTGCTGTGCTGCTGCTGCATCTATATCCATCTATAGTATATACAGCAGCAGCATCTTGCTGCAGTAATCCAGCAGCAGCAGCAGCAGCAGCAGCAGCAGCAACTATATGGGTATGGATACTAAGGAGACTAGCAGATGGGTACCGTCTTCCTTCTTATATGTATCCAATAGATCGTCGCCCCTTCCTCTTCCGTCTATTAGATTTCTTGCTGCTGCTGCAGCCCCTCCAGCAGCAGCAGCAGCAGCAGCAGCAGCAGCAGCAGCATATGAAGGGGAAAATATGCGCAGTAACGGGGTGTACGTCCGGCATAGGGGAAGAAGTTGTGCTGCAGTTAGCTGCATGGGGGGCAAGGGTGGCCCTCTTATGCCGTAACGAGGAGGAGGGGAGACAATTAGCTAGACGTATACATATACAGCAGCAGCAGCAGCAGCAGCAGCAGCAGCAGCAGCAGCAGGAGAGAGGGGATCTAGGGGTATGCGGCAGTGCATGCAAGGATGGATGTATTGCTCGTTTTATTAAGACAGATCTATGCTCTGCTGCTTCCCTTCGTGCTGCAGCAGAGGAAGTTATAGACTTCTGCAGCAGCAGCAGCAGCAGCAGCAGCAGCAGCAGCAGCAGCAGCAGCAGCAGGAAATGGGGTCTAGATGTATTAATACATAATGCTGGTGTCTTATTGACTGGGGAGATGGAGACAGTCCCCCTAACAGCAGCAGCAGCATCTGCTGCTGCTGCAGTATACCTAGGAGAAGATACAGCAGCAGGACGAGCAGGAGCAGCAATAGCAGCAGCAAGACGCCAATCAGCAGCATCAGCAGCAGCAGCAGCAGCAGCAGAAGAAGAAGAAGGAGTAGAGAAAATGTTTACTACTCATGTATTAGGTCCTTATATACTTACACGTTTGCTGCATTGGGGTGTACAGGCAGTTAATGGCAGAATTATCTTTGTGTCTTCTCTTGCTCAGCATAATGCTGCAGCAGATTACCATCCAATTAAATCTATTTGCTGCAGCAAATCATATGCTGCTGCTGCTGCTGCTATTGAGGAAGCAGCAGCACAATGTACAGATCCTTATACTGCAGCAGCAGCAGCAGCAGCAGCTAATGATGTTATGCCATGGACTAAGGAAACATTTGATGGTAAGATTGGCTATGCATGCAGCAAACTAGCAGAGACATGGCTTGCTGCTGCACTGCAGCGCGAGCTCAACAGCAGCAGCAGCAGCAGTAGCAGCAGCAGCAGCAGCAAGGGGGGTAGTGATGGTCCATTGGTCATGAGTGTACACCCTGGTGTTGTAGATACTAAGCTGCCTAGACACCTGAAGAAAAGTGTGGGGTGGGGCTTGCTGCTGCTGCTGATAAGAAAAACACTATTAAAGCAGCAGCAGCACGGAGCAGCAACGGTGCTGCTGCTAGCAGCAGCACCAGCAGCAACAGCAGCAGCAACAGCAGCAGCAGCAGCAAATAATAATAATAATAATAAAATAGAGGGAGGAAGCTACTATGCAGAAGGAGAGAAAGGAATAGCAGACACAAGAGCAGCAAATGAATTGCTGCAGCAGCAAACTCTTGCTATATGCAAAACATTAGCAGGAATATAAATAAATAAATAAATAAATAAATAAACAAATAAATAAATAAATAAATAAATAAATAAATAAATAAATACGTCTTGTGCCGTATTTTTACTCATAAGACGATGACGTCTTTCTTGATTGATTTCTTTTAATGCTCATAAATAGATAGATAGATAGATAGATAGATAAATAAATAAATAAATAAATAAATAAATAAATAAATTACCTCTTCTGTAGCACTTTTACTCATAAGACGATGACGCCTTTCTTGATTCATTTCTTTTAATGCTCTTTCTCCTGCTGCAGATGCAACATTTACTATTCGTGAATCTTGTCTAAATAAACATAACATTTCTTTTGTTAACTGCATACATTTTATTTAATTAATTAATTAATTAATTAAATTAATTAATTAATTAAATTAATTAATTAATTAAATTAATTTATAACACACACACACACACACACACAGAAGAGGCACAGGGAAAGAACTTATTAAGGAAACAGCATGCATGCATGCATGCATGCATGCATGCATGCATGCATGCAACATAACTAAACATATACAGGACATCTGCATGCATGCATGCATGCAGATGTCCTGTGTATGTTTAGTTATGTTGTTGCTGGCTGTCTTAATATGTTGCTGCATAGGAGTGTTGCTGTCCTTATTGTTCTTATTTTTTTTCTTAGGGAAAAAGGGAAGAAAAAGCATATTTCTGCATGTAAGCAACAGCAGCAGCAACAGTAGCAGCACCAGCAGCAGCAGCAGCAGCAGCAACAGCAGCAGCAGCAGCAGCAACAGCAGCAGCAGATAATAAATACTTACGTCTCTTGTACCATAATAATTAACTTTGCATGTATACTCTGCTTGTTCATATAATGGCTCTGTTGCGTCCCTCTTATAGGCAAAACCTAAAGAAAAAAAGAAAAAAAAAAAAGAAGAAAAAGAAAAGAAAAAAGAATAATAATATATACACAAGAAGAAAAAGAAGAAAAAGAAAATAAAAAAAAAAAAAAAAAAAAAAAAAAAAAAAAAAAAAAAAGAAAAAAAAAAAAAAAAAAAAAAAAAAAAAATGTTATTCTTTCCCTGCAAATAATATAAACCCTTAGCACATTAAAAAAAAGAATAAAAAAGAATAAAAAAGAATAAAAAAGAATAAAAAAGAATAAAAAAGAAT